CTGAACCGGACTCCATCCACCCCCTAGCTGCACCGAGAAATTGTCCATAAAAGTTATTAACATAATCGGTGACAACGGGCAGCCCTGGAGGTCCAACAACAACCGTGAAGGGGTCCGACTTAGTACCGGCAATGGTAAATGGTATATGGACTGTACTTATATAGCGCCTTTCTATCTTATGAAGACACTCAAAGAACTTTACACAACAATCTGTGTCTTCATTTACCCATTCATACAGCTCTCTACTAGATCTCTACAAATCATTCTAAAGAGACCTAAAAAAGTTAAGTCTGGTCCTCTGGACATTCAAAAAACAAAACAAAAAAACAGACCAAAAAAAATTTGCAGAAATGTTGAAATTAGCTCAGTCTCTTAAATAGCACCTTCTAAGAGTGGATCAACCAGTTTGCTGCTGACAACCAAAACCAGCTGATCACATGCTCAAGAAGGACCATCAGCCTAACAATGGATCATTAGCACCTGATGGCTGTTTACTGTTCACAGAGGGCTGAGTGATACTAGCAATCACAGCATTGTAAGAGGGGGACAGTTGAACCCGGAGGCTCCACCCCTGTTTAATGATGGACGGTTTCTTTTCACAAAGATGGCCTCCTTTACTCCTCTCTCAAACCATCGTTCCTCTCTGTCCAGGATGTGAACATCTTCATCCCTGAAAGAGTGACCTCTGACCTGGAGATGAGTGTAGACCTCAGAGTGAAGTCAAGTCAGATTTATTTATAGAGCACATTTAAAACAGAAACTGTTACCAAAGTGCTTAACAAAAATATCAAAACATCAAGTAAAAAGTAGCAAGATATATTTACAGCACATGGAATAAAAATATAAAACCAAAAACTATTAGAAACAATAAAATACTAAATCAGATCTGATGACCTTGTGTTAAATAGGAATAATAACAAAAGCATAAACAGAATCAGCATCAATGAAAAACTAGATCTAAATCCGATCACCCTGTGTTAAATGTCAATGAGTATAGATGTGTTTTGAGGAGAGTTTTAAAAATAGAGACTGAGGTGGCCTGTCGAATGTTGATGGGCAGATTGTTCCAGAGTTTAGGGCCCATGACTGAAAACGCTCGATCTCCTCTGAGCTTCAGCTGGTTTTTGGTACGGCCAAAAGCAGCTGGTCTGATGATCTCAAAGCCCGAGAAGGAGCATAAGGATGAAGAAGGTCGGAGAGATATGATGGTGCAAGGCCGTTAATGCACTTGAATGTCAGCAGGAGAATTTTAAAATCGATTCTGACACGTACAGGAAGCCAGTGAAGAGAGGACAGAACCGGAGTAATGTGCTCAAACCTGTGAGTTCCTGTTAAAAGCCGAGCTGCAGCATTTTGTACGAGCTGGAGACGTGAAAGTGAAGCCTGACTAACCCCAACATAAAGCGAGTTACAGTAGTCCAGCCGGGTTGTAATAAATGCATGGACTAGTTTTTCAAGGTCGGATCTGAACAGAACGGACTTAAGCTTAGCTATCTGCCTTAGCTGAAAGAAGCTTTTTTGTAGAACAGAGTTGATCTGTTTATTAAACTTAAAGTCTGAGTCTAACACTACCCCGAGATTGGTAACCGACTGCTTTAGATGAGGCTGAAGGGAGTGCAGGTTTACAGGATCAGTGACAGTGGTAGAGCTTGGGTTAAACACAATGACCTCAGTCTTCTGATAATTAAAACTCAAGAAGTTTGCAGCCATCCAAGTCTTGATGTCATCAAGACATTTTAGCAAAGGGTGGATGGAGCAAGAACTGTTTGGTTTTAAAGGCAGATAGATCTGAGAGTCATCGGCGTAACAGTGAAACGAAATACCATGTTTCCTCAGGATTGACCCCAAGGGGAGCAGATACAATGAGAACAGAAGAGGTCCAAGAATTGAGCCTTGTGGGACCCCACAGGAAAGAGGGACAGAAGCAGATAAATGATTGTCAAAGTTAACACAGAAACTCCTGTCACCCAGATACGAACGGAACCATTCTAGCGCCACCCCTGTAATCCCAACCCAGTGTTCTAGCCGTGACATAAGGATGCTGTGATCAACAGTGTCAAATGCAGCGGTAAGGTCGAGGAGTACCAGGATCACAGACTGACCAGAGTCATTCGCTAGCAGAATGTCATTACAGACCCTTACTAAAGCTGTCTCGGTGCTGTGCAGTTGTTTAAATCCTAACTGAAAAATCTCAAAAATTCCATTTACATTCAAAAACCTGGTTAGTTGACTAAAAACTATTTTCTCCAAGATTTTAGAAAGAAATGGAAGTTTTGCGATTGGCCTGAAGTTTGAACAAGCTGCAGGGTCGAGTCCGGGTTTTTTAATTAATGGAGTTACCATTGCATGTTTTAAAACATCAGGAACCACACCTGTAGCCAAACTGCTGTTAATAATGGCAAGAACAGAGGGTCCAGTTGACGGTAGAACCTGTTTAAAAAATGCAGCAGGGATGGGATCAGCAAGGATGGGATCAGCAGGGGAGCCTGAGGGTTTCATGTGATCAACGACCTCATTTAAAAATGAGAGTGAGATGGGGTCAAAGTGACTGAAGACTGCTGAGCAGGGGACAAGAACTGAAGGGTCGGCTGTGGAGTGTGGAATTGATGACCTAATCGACTCAACCTTTTCAGCAAAATGCCTGACAAACTTATTACAGGTGTCAACAGAGGCCTCAATGGTGGCAGACTGAGGCACGTTTAGAATGGTGTTAATGGTGTTAATGGTGTTAATGGTGCTGAAAAGAACGCGGGGGTTGTGACTGTTTGAGTTGATAATTTTTGAGAAATATTTGTTTTTCTCCTGTTTAACGGTGGTCTGATAGGCTTTCCAACATGATTTTAACAGTTTAACAGATTTTAACAGAGTCCTGGCCTGATGATGTTGATCTTCTGTGCTGGTCCATCCTTTTGGCCAGTGGCTGTTTAGTTTCCCCGATGTAAGACTGATCACCCTCCTGACACTGAACAACATACACAACATTACTCTGTTTGTGCCGGGGGACTGGATCTTTGGGATGAACCAGTCTTTAATGTATTTTGGGGTTTAAAAGCCACTGGGACGTTATGTTTAGAAAATAAACGTCTCAGTTTCTCTGATACTCCCTCAACATATGGAATGACCAGTGGTCTGGGTCTGGGTTCCTCCTTTTCACCTGATGGCTGACTGGAGTCCTGTTTGGGTTTCTTCTCTGCTTTCAGGAAGGCCCAGTTAGGATATCCACATTGCTCTAGAGCCTGTCTTGTGTGGGATTTCTCCTTCTGCCTGGCTCCTGAGCTAGTGGGGACGCTGTCTGCTCTGTG